TGCCCGCAGGCGCCGCACAGGCAGTCCTCTGCCGCCTGACCCACTGTCGGTAAAGTACAACGTTTGAATTTCCTATTCCACCTTGGCAATGGCTGCAGCAGCCATCTTGTCGGCCAGCTCACGAGCAATCTTGTACTTGCCGAGCGTGTCGTAGTCGGGAGCGATGTACCACTGGTCGCGATCCTCGGTCTTCAGCGCGATCTCATCTTCAACAACCAGAAAAAGATTGCCACGAAACCCTTTGCAGGAGGAGGAGGAGGAGGGGGAGGAGGAGGAGGAGGAGGAGGAAGATCAAGGAGGACACAGAGGAGCGATGCATGAGCAATCTTCGGTCGGTGCTTCCCCAGGTCTCTGCGCCAGGAACAGCGAGCATCGAGCCTGGAGATCGGAGCTCGTCGACGCGTGCGCATGGTCGGGCTGCATCGGCAAGGAGTCGAGCTTCGAATCGAGCCCGCTGCACAAGGACGCAGGGCAGGGCCACGCGAGCATCGGCCCACAACGGGCCACATCGGGCCATCGGAATCGAGCCCGATCGGGCCGGCCAGAATCGATATCGAATCGGATCGATCGTGTCGAAATGGCGCGCTCCAGATAGAGACGGAGGCTATTGAGTACTGGATATTGTGTTGTAGACGGAGGGGGGTGAGTAGGCGGTGATGTCCAAGTTCAGCTAGGCAAGGGAGTATGTGTAGTAGTGGGTGTTGAGTTGAAGACGAAGGCTGGTTAGTACTGGGCGTTTCGTTGTTGACGGAGGGGCTTGAGTAGACGGTCCGAACCTGATCCGAAGAAAACGTCAAAAAGAAAGCCTCTGAAATGAGTGTGAAAATCGCTGGAGCCATCTATGAGCTCAAATGGCATATACACAAGGGGGCCATGGTGCGTGCGGAGGGCCATACATACATACATGCGTAAACACAGACATACAATTATGCAGGTATACACACCTGCATGCATTCATGCATACATACATGCAGTCAGACATATATGTCTATGTATATAGGTGTATGTATGTGATACATACATGCATACATGCGTACACACATACACATGCAAGTCACGGATACATATAGTTGCAGTTATGCTTAAATACGTATACATACACATACACATATACATACACATGCCCATACGCATATGCATGTGCGGATGCACCTGCATATACATATACATATACAAACGCATTACGTCGATGTATACACATATACGTATACATATACGTATACACATACAAGGAGCTACACGTATGCACTTACGCGTACACATGCACTTACACGCGTATACATGTATATTTGCATATGCATATAAAGACGCATATGTATATGCACACCTACATGTGTGTACATGTGCACGTGTATGTACATGTAATATGCATATACATGTTCCGAAACGTATATGTATGCATATGCGTATGCCCTGTCATCTACGTACACACATACATATACATCTACAGAAGCATAAACATAAACATAGACATGCACATAAGCATACACGTACACATTTACACATGCATATACATGTACACATACATACACACATGCAAAAACAACATCTGTACACACATGTATACATATACATACACATATACATATACATAGTTACCTGCATGCATACGTACATGTACACACACACGTACGTGAATACATATATACATACGTGCCTACCTGCCTGCCGGCCTACATACGTACAAACATACATACATGTATACATCCACACACATCGGACTTCGTCCCTGGGCGCGCGTCTGCTCTGGGGTCGCAGCAGAAGTCGGGAGGGGGATTAGCAAGGGATGTTAGGTCAGTTGGGGCCCGTCCTACTAGGCACGGGCGGGCACGCTGGCGAGCGCCCCCACCCCTCTCTCTAGTCCGCTGCTGCGGGGCTCCGCGTACGAGCATAAAAATATGAACATGAATTTTCGGAGGCCCGCGCGGACTTCGTGGGTCGGCACTTGACCCCCCGCACTAGCGTGCGGAGCGCGAGCCGACTTCACGTCACCACCTTCTGACTGGCCAGCTAAGCGTCACCGAAAAATTGTCATGTCCACGATTGCCATAACGGACCCTTGCTTACGATCAGGACCTTGTGCTCAGCGTGTCGCGGCGGCGGCGGCAGCCCTGGCCGCATGCTATACCTTGCAAGCGGTCGCTCCGCTTCGCGGGACGGAAGGCTGAGAAAACCGGGACGTGCTTAGCGTGTCACGCCGAAGCGTGCTCGGCCAGAACCGGCAGCGCGACACGCTGCGCAAACGCTCCCGACCTCAGATTCACAGCAGACGAAGGGAATCGTGACCCCCAAGTCCAATGTCCCTTTCGCATGAGAAGCCACGACGCTCCCAGGAGCAGCGCGCGCAGAAGGCCTCGCCAACCAGACAGCGGAGACGCACACCAGGCGTCCTACAAATGACCAGGGGCCACTCAGTTATGAACCACGCTCTCTTCCTCGCAACCTCCCCCTCCCCCTGCCCCCCACTCCCCCTCCTCCTCGTTCTCACCCCATCATCATCATCATCATCATCATCATCATCATCATCATCATCATCATCATCATCATCATCATCATCATCATCATCATAATCATCAGCGTCATCAGCATCATCATCAGCATCAGCATCAGCATCATCAACATCATCATCCTCATCATCATCAGCAGCATCGTGATCAACAGCAACAACAGCATCATCAACAAAATCATCGTCATCATCATTATGACCAACATCATCCTCGTCATTACCATCATTTCATCGTCATCCCCATCATCAGCAGCATCGTCACCACCACCAATATCACCATCATCGTCGTCATGATCCCCAGCATCATCATCAGTACCATCAGCACCATTAGCATGTTCATACTCGTCATCGTCATCATCATGATAATCATCATCACCATCAGCATCATCAGCATCATCATCACCACAACCATCACCATCAGCAGCATCATCAGCATCATCAGCGTCAGCATCAGCATCATCAGCATCAGCATCAGCGTCATCGTCATCAGCAATACCAGCATCAGCATCAGCAGTATAATCAACATCGGCATCGTTATCAGCAGCAGCATCATTATGATCATCAGCACCATCAGCATCATTAGCATTTTCATACTCGTCATCATCATCATGAGCATCATCACCATCATCATCATCAGAATCAACATCATCATCAGCACCATCACCATCATCATCGGCACAACCATCATCATCAGCAGCATCATCAGCATCATCAGCATCAGCATCAGCATCAGCAGCATCAGCATCATCGTCATGAGCAAAATCAGCATCAGCATCAGCATCATCATCAGCATCGGCATCGGCATCAGCACCAGCATCATCATCATAATCGTTAGCATCATCATCATCAGCATCATCATAAGCATCATCATCATCATCGTCGTCATTGCCATCGTCATCATCATCAGCATCGTCATCAGCATCATCATCATCAGCACCAGCATCATCATCCTCATTACCAACATCATCATCGTCATCAGCGTCATCATCGTCGCCGGCATCATCGTCATCACCATTAACAGCAGCAACACCATCATCACCTCCCTCTCAGCATCATCAGCATCATCAGCAGCAGCAGCATCGTCATCACCGTCATCATCATCATCAGCATCATCAGCATCAGCATCAGCGTCAGCATCAGCACCACCATCATCATCGTCAGTACCATCAGAAGCAGCATCATCATCCATCCTTATCCTCATCATAATAATCATCATCATCATCATCATCATCATCATCATCATCATCATCATCATCATGATCACCATCATCATCATCATCATCATCATCATCACCATCACCAAAACCATCAGCATCATCATCAGCAGCAGCATCACCACCACCAACATCTTCTCATCATCATCGGAACTATCATCAGCAGCAGGATCAGCGTCAGCATCAGCACCAGCATCATCATCATCATCATCATCATCATCATCATCATCATCATCATCATCATCACCAGCATCATCATCAGCAGCATCATCAACATCATCATCAGCATCAGCATACTCAATATCATAATCAGCAGCAGCAGCAGCATCGTCGTCGATCTCATCATCAGCATCAGCATCGCCGCATCGCCATTGTCATCATAACCATCATCATCATCATCAGCATCATCATAATCATTATCGTCATCGTCATCGGCATCGTCATCGTCATCGTCATCGTCCTCATCATAATCACCAGAATCATCATAGTTTCATCACCAACAGCCTCATCATCATCATCACGACGACCATCATCATCAGGAGCATCATCAGCAACAGCATCAGCAGCAGCATCAGCACCATCATCATCGTCATCAGGATCAGCATCAGCATCGGCATCCGCATCAGCATCATCATCATCAGTAGCATCATCATAATCATTACCAGCACCATCATCATCATCAGCAGCAACATCGTCGTCATCATCATCATAAGTATCATCAGCAACACCATCATCACCATCCTCTCATCATCATCGACATCATCATCATCATCATCATCATCATCATCATCATCATCATCATCATCATCATCATCATCATCATCATCATCGTCATCATCAGCAGCAGCAGCAGTACCATCGTCGTCATCATCATCATGAGCATCCTCATCATCATCATCACCATCGTCATCTTAATAATACGTACCAGCATCATCAGCAGCATCATAATCATTACCAGTATCATCATCATCGCCGTCATCATCGTCGTCATCACCATCATCAGCAGCAACACCATCATCACCATCCTCTCAGCATCATCAGCAACATTAGCAGCAGCATCATCATCATCTCATCACCGTCATCATCATCAGCATCATCATCAGCAGCATCATCATCGTCGTCATCACCATCGTCATCACCATCGTCATCAGCATCATCATCATCATCATCAGCATCATCATCACCATCATCATCGCCATCATCGTTATCATCACCATCGTCATCACCACCATCCCTCCCCTTCCCCTGCATCTCCCTCGTCGTTCTCCCCCTCTCGGCGCCGAAAGGCAGCCCCGCGTCGGTGCAGCTCAACAGGGCGCTGGCACCAGTCGGACGTCGTCCCCGAGGCAGACGCCGCTCTCGCTCTTGCCGTCGTCCAGGTACTCCAGGTCCAGTGCCAGAGGCTGCTGGCGCCGCGCTCGAGCCAGCGGGACGAGGAGGCCCTTGAGCACGGCCCTGCTCAGACGTTTCTCAAAGTGCTCCCTGGAAGGCGGGGGGGACTTCGGAGAAACGACGCGCCCTCGTCGACACGAGCAGGCCCTGCCCTGGCAGCGCGGGCCCGGGCGTGGTCGGAGGGCGGGGGGCCCAGTCTGCCGTATGGATCTCCCGCCGCGTCAGCAGGGCCCAGGATCGAATGGACGAGTCGGATCGGCCATCGGCATGAATCGGATCGGCGGAAACCGGCAGCCCAGTCGGGAGAAGCCGCATCGGCGGAAATCGGCAGGCTAGCACTCAGGCCGGACCCCGTGCAGAAATCAATCTTTTCCCCCCCCCGCCTGCCTCACTTGGGCTCAAGCAATCCTCGCGGACATGCTTGGCTAATATATCCTCGGGTGTGGTGCTGTGGTCAGGTCACAGCGGCGTCCACCGGGCAAGTTAACAAATCCTCTGGCCCGAAGTCCGACGCAAATGCGCATGCCTGAAGTGATCCACACAGGTCGGAAACCCAAAGATCCGATGTCGTGACTTTTTCAATACGGGGTCCCCGGAAGTCTCGACCCATTCCCCAGGCCCGCCCTTTCATCCTGAGTCGTTTTTTGACGGCCCCGGGGCCCGGCGGGGGCCGCTGGAGGCCGAAGACCGAGAAAAGCATCCCTCTCGACTTTTGCCGCTGCGTCGGAGGTCTGGGAAAGCCCAGGTCGGCAGCCGAAGCCGCCTCGGAGCGGAGCATCGGAGGAGGAGGAGGAGGAGGAGGAGGAGGAGGAGGGGAGGAGGAGGAGGAGGAGGAGGAGGAGGAGGAGGAGGAGGAGGGGGAGGGGGAGGAGGAGGAGGAGGAGGAGGAGGAGGAGGAGGAGGAGGAGGAGGAGGGAGGCCAGCGACACCGAGCCGAAGCGGCCCCGGAGGCATCGAAGAAGCACGAGGCCCCGAAGCAGGCGGGCCGCCTCCTCTGCGGCCCGCCCCCATGGCCCCGAAGAGCGGGGCCCCCCGAGGGCGCTCCGCCCCTCCTCCTCTCCTCCTTCCTCTCTTCTCCTCCTCCTCCTCCTCCTCCTCCTCCTCCTCCTCCTCCTCCTCCTCCTCCTCCTCCTCCTCCCCCCCGCGCCAGGGCGAGGCCGCCCGCGCCGAGGCGGCGCCGGCCGCCGCCCCCCCAGACCCCCTCGAGTCCTGAAAAAATCACGACGGGAGGTTTTTCCATATTTTCCGCCTCTGGGGGCCCTTACCGGCCCTCGGGGCCGTCAAAAAACGGCTCAGGATGAAAAACCGGTCCCGGCGAGTAGGTCCAGACCTCTGGTGGTCGCGTCATGAAAAAATCATGACGTCGGGGGTCTGGGCCCATGGCTTAGGTCGGGCCCGTCCCCCTCCAGGGGGATTTGAGCGAGGACTTAAAAAAAAGTACCCCAAAAATGCCCCCCAAAAAAAATCAAGACAGAGATTCGAAAGTTCGTCCCCAGACTTACTTGTTCAACTGTTTTTGGGATAGATGCCTCCTGTAGAGGGAGAGGCCCGACTTGACCCATGGCCATCTGGGCGGTGCCGCGGCCAGTCACCACCGGTCGGCGGCGACCGATCGATCGGGAGCGCGCACACCTGGATCGCTTCCCTACAGGGCCGGCTTCGCGTCCCGGGTCGTAATTTTTGTCCCAACCATCCTGTGGTGTTGGGTCCTCGTTTTGAAGAGACGGTGCCCCGCGTACTCCTTCCTTCCTCCCGCTGCCTCCTCCCCCCTCCCATCATCATCATCATCATCATCATCATCATCATCATCATCATCATCATCATCATCATCATCATCATCATCATCATCATCATCGTCGTCATCATCATCATCACCATCATCGTCACCGCCATCACCATGATCATCATCGACATCATCGACGTCATCATCACCACCACCATCATCATCAGCATCATCATTATCATCATCATCATCATCATCATCATCATCATCATCACCATCATCATCATCATCATCATCATCATCGTCATCGTCATCGTCATCACACAATTCGGCGCACGCCTCACACGTTTCGTGGCCCCATAGGGAGCTCCACCGAAGGCCCCATTGCTGCCGCCCGCATGCGTCCCCCACACCCAATTCGGCACACCCCTCACACGCTTCGTGGCCCCATAGGGAGCTCCACCGAAGGCCCCAGTGCTGCCGCCCGCATGCGTCACGCACACCCAATTCGGCACACCCCTCACACGCTTCTGGCCCCATAGGGAGCTCCACCGAAGGCCCCAGTGCTGCCGCCGCATGCGTCACGCACACCCAATTCGGCACACCCCTCACACGTTTCGTGGCCCCATAGGGAGCTCCACCGAAGGCCCCAGTGCTGCCGCCCGCATGCGTCACGCACACCCAATTCGGCGCACCCCTCACACGTTTCGTGGCCCCATAGGGAGCTCCACCGAAGGCCCCAGTGCTGCCGCCCGCATGCGTCACGCACACCCAATTCGGCACACCCCTCACACGTTTCGTGGCCCCATAGGGAGCTCCACCGAAGGCCCCAGTGCTGCCGCCCGCATGCGTCACGCACACCCAATTCGGCACACCCCTCACACGCTTCGTGGCCCCATAGGGAGCTCCACCGAAGGCCCCAGTGCTGCCGCCCGCATGCGTCCCGCACACCCAATTCGGCACACCCCTCACACGTTTCGTGGCCCCATAGGGAGCTCCACCGAAGGCCCCAGTGCTGCCGCCCGCATGCGTCACGCACACCCAATTCGGCACACCCCTCACACGTTTCGTGGCCCCATAGGGAGCTCCACCGAAGGCCCCAGTGCTGCCGCCCGCATGCGGAGCACACCCCCACCGAAGGCCCCACCGCATGCGCCACGCACACCTTTCGTGGCCCCGTAAGCACACGTTGCCGCCCCGCATGCATGGAGGGACGCCCCGAACAGTGCTGCCGCCCGCATGCGTCCGTCACACACCCAATTCGGCACACCCCTCACACGTTTCGTGGCCCCATAGGGAGCTCCACCGAAGGCCCCAGTGCCGCCGCCCGCATGCGTCACCCACACACATTTCGGCACACCCCTCACACGTTTCGTGGCCCCATAGGGAGCTCCACCGAAGGCCCCAGTGCCCGCGGCCGCATGCGTCACCCCCATCCACTTCGGCCAACCCCTCACACGCTTCGTGGCCCCATAGGGAGCTCCACCGAAGGCCCCAGTGCCCGCGGCCGCATGCGTCACGCACACCCAATTCGGCACACCCCTCACACGCTTCGTGGCCCCATAGGGAGCTCCACCGAAGGCCTCAGTGCCGCCGCCCGCATGCGTCACCCCCACCCATTTCGGCACACCCCTCACACGATTCGTGGCCCCATAGGGAGCTCCACCGAAGGCCCCACTGCGAAGGCGACGGGGCGGGGGAACGGCGCTCCGGGGGCGGCCAGACCTCCGGGGCGCGAGCAGTCCGCGGCCAGACCATCTCTCGGTCCTGTGGACTCTCGCCCTGGGCCGTCGGCTGCCCGGCGCGCTGCTCCCTCGGTCGACGTCGCCCAAGCGTGATCCTGGATTGCGGCCGCCACGAGGTAGGGAACGGCAAGAAGGAGGACGACGACTGGTGGCTGGAGCTCTACGTGCTGCTCTCGCGCGCCACGCGCCACGAGGACCTCCTGCTCATGCGGGCGCCGCGCATCGAGTTCTTCCTGGCAGGGCCGCCGCAGGGCTTGCGGAAGCAGCTGGAGCAGTTTGCGGCGCGCACGAAGCGGTGCAGGAGGGAAGCGACGGCCCTCGCCAGGGAGCTCGGCTTCACCGAGTTCATCCGCGAGGCCTGACCTGAGGAGCGTCTCCCCCGAGCCGCGCCTTCTCTCGACTGCCCGACTAATTGTTTGGCCTCGCGCCGCGGACGACCCGCGCGCGTCGCTGGGACCCTCTCGGGGCGACCAGCGCGCGTCGCGGGAACTCCGTGCTGCGGGGAGCCCGGCGCCTCGTTCGCCCGTCGTCGCTCTGCCCAGCGGTCAGAGACTTGCCCGCTATCAGCCAGCCAGTTAGCTAGTCAGCTCTCTCTGCTTCGCGCAGCGGACGACCCGCGCGCGTCGCTGGGACCCCGCCCGGGGCGACCAGCGCGCGTCGCGGGGACTCCGCGCTGCGCTGCGCCCGCAGCCTTGGATTTTGGAGTGCGCGGGCAAAGAGGAAGGAAAAGAAGAGCCGAAAGCGGGCGCGATCCTCGCAAGAGGCGTGCCGACATGGGCGTCGCGACGTGCGGACGCTGCCGTCGGGGTTCCCGCGGAAGCTGCCTGCGGCGGCCACGCCCAGTGTCACGTGTGTTCGGACAGGCATGCTCGAACCATTCACATTCATATACACTTACACTAGGCGTTTCCATGATCGCATTCATGCAAATATATTCACTCGCGCGCAGACCCATTCATACTCAGATTCCCTCGCGCTCTGACTCACCCGCGTTCTTTCTCTCGTAATCAGACCTATCGTATTCCTTTGCGTTGTGTACCCCGCCACATTTCGGCACACCCCTCATGCGGTTCGTGGCCCCATAGGGAGCGCCACCGAAGAAGATACTCACAATTGCGATACTCACAACTGCATATGGTTGGGGCCCTCCGCCTGGATAATTTTTCTCCCCGCAAATCGAGAGCAAGGGAGGAGATCAGGCCGCAGCCCGTGGGGAGAGACTGCCCCAATGTCCACACCAGGGCCAAGAACAAAGAAAGAGGAGGGGGAGGAGTAGGAGGAGGAGGAGGAGGAGGAGGAGGAGGGGGGAGGAGGAGGAGGAGGAGGAACCTAAGGAAACAAGACGGCGCAAGAAACGAATTACCCCTAAAGCGTCCTGGGTCGTAACTTCGACGCTCCCGAGGCCCCCGCGAGGGCCGCCGGAGGGGCCCGACTCTCGGCCAACGCAGACCGCCCGCCCGCTCCTCCTCACTCCTCCTCCTCCTCCTCCTCCTCCTCCTCCTCCTCCTCCTCGGGCCTCTGGGGAAATAGCGGGAGGACCTGCAGGAAGCGACGGTGCCGTCCGAGAGCACGCAGCTCCCCCCTTTCGGGGGGGGGCGCAGACGTGGACTAGCGATCCATAGGGGTCTGGCGCGCGGTCACCAACTCCATGGATCGGGCGAGGTGCCCTCCCCGAAGTGCGGCCGGTGCCGCCTCGTTCGGCGGCGGAGATCGGCGATTTCCCATGGAAGCGGGGCCCGTCGCTAATCCACGCCCCCTTGATCCATGTTTGCGAGCGCCTGGCACCAGTCGGCGGCGACCGAGGGGGGCGAAGTGAGAAGGAGAAGGCCCTCTCAGAAGGCGACGGGACATCTCAGAAGCCCTCGCGCGTTCTGAGGAGTCTGTCTTCGGGGAAGGCTTTCAAACCTTCCCAGGAGGCTAGGGGACTTCCGAGCCTTCTGAGCAGGACCGCCCCTTCTCACTTCCCCCTCGGGCTCGCCGCCGAGAATGTTCCGAACGGGGTCGCCCCTGATGATACTTGAAAACAAGATGCGAACCTCATGAGTAACCATTCAGTGTTCGAGGAAGCACGCTGGGAAATGGGAAAGTTCTTGCGCGAGCACGATGATGCTGAGTAGAAGTAGTAGTGTTGGTTATCGCCTGGTCGCTGGGCCCCAGAGATCACCTGATCATCACCTGGTCACTGGGCCAGATCGACACTGTTGGCACCCAAATGGATGGGCAATGAATTGGGCCTACAAGGGAAACGCATTCGCTGAGCATCACCTAAGCACTGGTGGACACGGACCACGATGGGGATCGGCTCCACGGTGCGCGCTTCCATGTACTTTCCTAAGTTCGCGATCATCCTTAAAGAGTACAGCTACACCAATAAGGTCCCATGTGGAGACCATTCGGATCCCAATAGGCTTCATAGGAGCCCATAGTTCCCCAGCAGAACTCAATAGAAGCATTGGTTTCAATTGGGAAATCAACGAATACTGGTTTCCAAAAAGACTTCACCCTGAACGTGTCTTCTCAACTGGAACTCAAAGGAGCTATGTGTTGTCAGCCTGATCTCAATCGACCTATTGGTTTTCAGTTGGAATTGCATCTCTTGTGTGCCTTCCACGTTCAATTTGACCTACGTATGGGCGTTGGAAATATGAGTCCAACTATGTATGTATATGTACATACTATAGAACCAGCGCGCGCACTTTGCGCGCGCTCAAATTCTAGCTAAGCTGGATGGTCCAACTCTCGGCAACCTCTGTTGTATGATACTTCTTCTCTGGCGCTTGCAAGAACCACGGAGACGGCTGCCCAAGTGGCTTCCGCGCTTCCTGCGGTCCACCCACGGCGGCCCAAGACAGGCCCAAGGGGCATTTCGGGGTCCTTCTCTTCGCCGCGGCTGGGCGTAGCTGGAGGAAGAGGGGGGAACAGGGGAGGTGAAGGGGTTCCCTGGGGAGGAGGAGGAGGAGGAGGAGGAGGCTGAGGAGGAGAAGGAAGACGAGGAGGAACAGGAGGAGGAAGAGGAGGAAATATGATAATTATTGTTTTGCCAGCGCAGCCAAGCTGCCAAGCGAACTTGAAAAAAGAAGGACATGTTGGAACTCCCTTTTTCAAATGCCCTCGGGGCCTCTCTTGGGGCTCTTTGGGCTTCTTTGGGGCTTCGGGGGGCCTCTTGAAGCCTCCTGGGGGTCTCCTGGGGCGAAGATCTCGGGTTCTCGGTTCACGTTCCCGAACCTGGGCCGCGGTTGGGGCCCTCTCGGGCTGTCTTGGACGTCTCTTCGGCCGTTTTGGTGCCGTCTTGAAGCGCTTCTGAAGCTTATTGGGCCGTCTTGGGGCGATCCTCGGAGCCTCTTGTGGCGTCTTGCAGCGTCGGTAAGCGGGGCAGGCGGAAACGCCGACATTGTTCACAAACTCTTGGGAAATCTGTGTTTTTGTCGCCTCTTCGAGCTTTCTTGGAGGCCTCTTGGGTGGCACGGACAGGCAGGGGGGGAGGGCACGGTCGGTCGGTCGGAATAAGCCGACGGGGGCCACGGAGCGAAAAAATGCAGGGGGGGCGAGGGGACGGGGATGGCCACGGTCGGGCAGGGGGGGGGGCACGAACGGCAGGGGGACGGGAGGGCGCCGGGAGGGGGCACGGCCGGCCGGTCGGAATAAGCAGTCAGGGGGCCACGGGGCGGAGGGATGCATGGGGGGGGGGCAGGGGGACGGGGGGTGAACGGTCGGGCAAAGGGAGGGGCACGGTCGGCTGGTCGGAGCAAGCAGACATGGGGGCCACGGGACGGAGGGGCGCGGGGGGGAGGGGCAGGGGGACGGGAGGGCACGGTCAGGGGGGAAGGGCACCGTCGGTCGGCCGGTCGAATAAGCAGTCAGGGGGCCACGGGGCGGAAATGTGCGGCGGGGGGGCAGGGGGACGGGAGGGCATGGTCGGGCAGGGGGGGGCACGGTCGGCCGGTTGGAATTAGCAGACAAGGGCCACGGGACAGAGGGGTGCGGGGGGGGGGGGAAGGCACGGTCGGGCAGAGGGGGGGGCGCGGACGGTCGGTCGGAATAAGCATACATAGGGGCCACGGGGCAGAAAACTGCGGGGGGGGGGAGCAGGGGGACGGGAGAGGGGGGGGGGACACGGAGCGGAGGGGTGCGGCGGGGGAGCAGGGGGACGGGAGGGCATAGTCTGGCAAGGGGGGGGGGCACGGTCGGTCGGTCGGAATAAGCAGACAGGGGGCCACGGGGCGGACGGGTGTGGGGAGGGGCACGGTTGGTCAATCGGAAGGGAGGAAGGTGTGGACGGGGGGGCGAGGTGGACCCCAGCACACCGAGCACGTATCCCAGCACGCATCCCGGCACACGGAGGCGACACGCATCCCAACGCACAGCCTTGCCCAGAGACCCCAGCACATCCAGGCCACACCCCAACACGCATCCCAGCACACGAAGGTAGCACACATCCCAGCATGTATCCCAGCGCACGGAGGCAGCACACTGCCCTACACACATCCCAGCACACGAAGGCAGAACACGTCCCAGCACCCAGCTCAGTCCAGCGCACATCCCAAGCACGGTCGGTCGGTCAAAATAATGCAGTGCGAGATCACACAGACTGGTATGATACAACGACTACAAGTACTACTACTAGTACTACTAGTAGTACTACTAGAAGTACTACTAGAAGTACTACTACTGCTACTACTACTACTACTACTACTACGACTACTACGACTACTACGACTACTACTACTACTACTACTACTACTGCTACTACTACTGCTACGACTACGACTACGACTACTACTACTACTACTACTACTACTACTACTACTACTACTACGGCGACGGCGACGACGACGACGACGACGAGCGACGACG